CGCCCCGGGGGGCAGCTTCCCGCCCGCGCCGCCCCTCATCCCCGGGGGCAGGACCCGGCCCCTCGCTGCCCGGCGTCGGGACCCGGCCCCGCTGGGTGAATCCGTGCGGAGCTGCCTTGGTGCCCTCACCCCCGCCGGGCGGGTTAAAGTCTGAGCGCGGCGCAGGTGGGGCCGGCCCGGTAATCCCGTAAGAGGCTTTTCTCTGCTCCACCCAGACCTGGCCCCGGAGCGACCTTTAGCCTGGCCGGGCTCCTGGGGGGGTAACGTGGGGCGCTGCCTGAGGGGACACCCCGCTCCCAGAGCCCAGCCTGGCCGGGTGCAGGGGCTGGTGGGAACGAGGTTACCCGTCGTATGGGGCAACAATGAAAGAGATGCTACGTGTCGCGAGCAGCGATCCTGCCTGCCAGTCAATGGGGGGAGGCACAGATACTCCATACTTATGTTAAAAAAGATTAGAAGGGATGAGCAGGTGGGGAAAGGAAGCTATGGACCACACCTAAAGGGTGGGAGAACAGCAATCGGGGGGAGAAACTAGCTGCTTTATAGTGCCGGGTCCCTGATACTATTGTTCATCCTATTTCTAGTAGTTCTTCAAAGCTAACAAGATGTGGTGTTTTAGCTGCTGCTTGTAATTATTAGAACTGGGAGCATTGGCTGTTGGAAGCACAGAAAACAAGGAGGAGGGAGATGATTAGCCAGGACCAAATGAGAGCTATAGAGGAACACAGGAGCTTTATAAAGAGGTTTCACTTTTGGTAAATAAAGTCCTGTTGAAGCTTGTTAGTACTTTGTTTGCATGGTACAACATTTTGGCACAAGGATGGATCTTCTGCCCCTGAATCTACCTGCACCCTTTCTGCAGTGCCTAAGTGAGCCTCCAATTCTTTTTACTGCCTGGATTCATATGTTTGAGACTTACCTGCTTGCAATCAGTGCTATAGCGGTTTCTGAAGTAAGAAAACTTGGCTCTGCTACACCACTGCTTTGGAGCAGAAGGGAAGTGTATATTTTACACTTTCCCTTTGCAGATGCTAAATATGAGACTGCGCTCACTGCATTAAAGAACTTTGTGCCAAAAGTGAATGTAGCTAATCACTACAGATTTTGCGGGCATGAGCAGAATCCAGGGGAGACTAATGCAGTATATTACTTCTCTGAGGAGTCTGACTGTAAATTGTGACTTTGGGAATATGGCAGATGAGATCATTAGAGACCAACTAATTGAGAAAACAACCACGCGCTTGCTTCTAGAACCACAACTTACTCTGGAAAAAGCAAAAACCATTGCCAGGGCTTGACAAATCATGTAATCTACTCGCCTGTGGCAAGTAGATTACCTGCCAGCGCAGCGCGATCTGCGCATGCGCAGCTCACAGAGCAACGCAACTGGTGAGCAGGGCTCGCCGCTGCTTGGTGAGGCCTCACCATTGCTACCCCGAGTGGCTTTTACTATAGCTGACTCAAAATAATAGGCATGGATGCAGGAGGCCTAGTCCAGGCTGTGACCCTTTTGCAGAAAAGTCCACTGTCACTGCAAACAGTTACAAGGAGAAAGCTAATGAAAAACCATAGAATCACCTCTGCTCTGCCCCTAGCTCAGCTCTGCTCCTTGCCTGGCATTCTGGCTGGCACCCCACATGTGACCTGCCCTGCCATAGCAGCCCACAGACCCAGCCACTGGGCTCAGCTTCACTGCTCCAAACCACTGCCCCGTTGCTGGTACTCTTGGCCCTGCCAGTCCTGTTGCAGCAGCATTGGCCCCACCAGCCCACAGTTCCACCGCAGTGACTCTCATCCCTATCCACAGCAGATCATTGCTCAGCAGCTGGGGATCCTGAGCCCTCCTGCCACAGCTCTGCGATGTTGCTGCTGACTCACTGCACAGACCACAGTCTGCTGGACTCTTACAGCAGGACTCCCTGCCACAGGATTCCCTGAAGCCACCCTGGCTGGTTTCTCAGCCCCTGCAAGACTCTTGCTTCTGGCCCTCCAAAGGATCTCTGGTCCAGCAACATCTGTGGTCATACCATGGATGTTGCTGGACCAGAGAGTCCAGGTTGAGAGAGGTTTAACCTGTAGTAGCTAAGAATCCTAACTGGCTTTTCTAATATAGCCATTTAAAACAGCAAGTAGGTCTAGTACTGTATTATAATCTTTCTAGCAGAGTGATTGTCATAACCATGAGGAAGGGCCAGCAGCCTGGGGCTAAGGGGTTAACTATGTCCCCTGTACCTAGTCAGGTAGCGGTCAGCCAATAGAAATGCAGATAGATTTCAAACAGGAATTTTTGGATTTTCCCTCCTTTGTCTGAGCTAGTTTGCTTTCTAGATACTGAAGGAGACAGACAGGAGACATGTGTCTCACCAAGAAAAAGACTCTTCATAATGTGTAAGTAGGGTAAAGTCTAGATAAATCCGTCAGGTTTTATTGTTTTCTGTTTTGGGAATTTGGATCTGATGTCTGCCTTTAGAAATGGGTTTTCCTCTCTTTTGTAACTAAGTTTTGGTCCATGGCGGAATCCTCCATGAGTACAGGTAGTCCCCGGGTTACGTGGATCCGACTTATGTCGGATCCCTACTTACGAACGGGGTGAGGGAACCCCGTACTAGCTGCGCCACCCCCCAGCAGACCGCTGAGACGCGCCCGTGTCCTCCGCGGCGAGAAAAGCCGCTCCGCGTCTCCCTGGTCTGCAGGACTGAGGGAAGTGAGGTGTGGAAGAATAAAACTGAGCTCTGGAGAAATGTTTGGCTAGAGTTTCCCCTACAATATGTACCAGTTCCGACTTACATACAAATTCAACTTAAGAACAAACCTACAGTCCCTATCTTATACGTAACCTGGGGACTGCCTGTAATTGGTTTTGGTTTTCATATAAATTTCCTGTTACTTCTTCTTGGAGATCACGACACCAAACTATTGTATTTTGATACATACATAATAATGAATACATAAATCTACTTCCATAATGCACAGTAGGCATGTTATTATATAAACCATGGCCCAGATGCAGCCCCCAGCTTGCCTAAATCCAGCCCCCAAGGCTCAGCTCCCCCACAGCATTGGGAAGCCTGAACTGGCACTCCAGCTCCTCCCCCACCCCACCCTCTGAGCTCCACTGGGGGGCAGGAGCACACAAAATCTACTAGGGTTGGGCTCCCTAAGCTCTGGTGTGCAAGGGGAATGTGGAGAGTATCTTTCTCCTTCTCGGTTGGAAGTCACATTAATGAGTTTGTTGGGGGGGGTTTCTCACTTGTGTGTGGCCCCCAAGGCTATGTCTACCTTGCAACGCTATTTTGGGATACTGGCTTCCTGGAGTCAGCCGCTGGTCAGTTTCAGCAGCGGCTGAATCGGGGACACCTGGGGTACAATATGTACCAGTTCCGACTTACTTACAAATTCAACTTAAGAACAAACCTACAGTCCCTATCTTGTACGTAACCCGGGGACTGCCTGTACATTAATTGGTGGCTCTTACATATAGCCATTCCAACTATGCTTGTAACTGGGATATTGTTTTGATAAGTCCTTTTTTAATTTAACCTGGTATTGGTTAATTTTTGTGTCTTGGTTTTACTTTAGGGCTGAGGTTTCCCAAGTGACTTCTTCCCTGGTTTTTCTTGTAATACTTGGGTGGTGGCAGCGGGGTTGTTGTGGTGGTGGTGGTTTGGTTTTTTTTGTTTTTTTTCCCCCCCAAAGTCCAGGTGTTAGGATTTTTGGGGAAGTTTTGTACCAAAGCCTGTAGAGATCAGGTTTTGGAATGCTTTTACAGGCCCCCACTTCTGCATTCATTGTGCCAGAGTGGGGAACAGCTTTGACAGTGATATTGGATGCAAAATGTTTCAGAATGTCAGTTAAGACAGCCAAACCAACAACGCAGTCTGTGGTAGCCCAAGTGGCAGGGCGTGGCCTCCAGTCTTAGTTCGGGTAGGCCAGAGAGCAAAGTTTCAAATAAGCTGCTTGGCAGTGTATACGCCCTGGCTCTGGGTCAGGTTGGGCAATCAAAAGTCTAACATATAAAGGAGAATGTATGTTTGTGCTCTAATAACTTGGATACTAAGATCCACTGCAACCAAACTTTGCATGGAATAACCTTTCCTCCAGGAGAAGGTTTTAAGGTACTGTGGGAGGGTGTGACAGGGCCCCACCCTTCCCCCCCCCCCTCCCCCAAGCACTAGGTCCGCCGGCAGCAATGCGCTCCCAGGCCACTGCTGTTCTGGGCCTGTGGCGCTTGCGCAGAGGTGGCACGCGGAGGACTGCCTTCATGGCACAGGCGTGCCTCAGCCAGTGGGCAGGTGGACCCAGGGAGAGCAGGGACGCCAGTGTGGAAAAGGGCGCTGATGGTTAAACCTGGCACTGAGCTAGACACGGGGGGGCGGAGGGGAGAGGAGAAGAGAAGGAGGAGCAGGGTTGGCTCTTTTGCTTGCTGCTCCCCCCCTTCCCTCCTCTCTCCCGCCCCCTCCCTAACTGCCAGCCTGTGCCCCACCCGGAGAGCGCCCTGCTCCTTCCTACCCCTCACCTCCCACTACCTTAAATCTCACTGAGCCCCCCACACACAGTGCCCCACTCCTCCCCACCCTTCCCCTGCCACCTCCTTAAATGTCACCTTGTGCCCCACATAGACAGAGAATCTGATTTTCTTCCACCACATGTGTCCCAAGTACCACCCTATCTAATATATAAAGGAGAGTGTTTGTAAGTTTGTGCACTAATAACTTGGACACTATAAGAGCTACCTCATTCAAACTTTGCATAGGATAACCGTTCATCCAGGAGAAGGTTTAAGGTACTTTTGGACCTGATCGGGGTCCCACCCTGCCCCCTGCAGCTAGGGGCTCTAGCTTGGGTGCCCCTCCTGTGTGTAGCCTCCTGGGACTCGCCTCCTCCCACCTGCGAGGTTACATAACCGACCCTCTTCCTCCCCTCCCCCACTGG